CAAAGTAGTCTCTTTAAATTGCTCTGAAAAACCTGTGTGTTTTCCGTTAAGGGAAACATGCCTGGCCTACCACAAAAAGAAAAGCAATTGAGAATATGCAAAATACTTTCTCTGTACCTTCATTGAAAGAGGTTGTTATGGTGGCCGAACCACTTTAGTTGAATGTCAGACCGTGCTCTAGACACACAGCAACGTTGCACTCTTACCCGAAGTACCTGCATATTCTAGGACACTTTTAAAAATTCAGGTGACGTGTTTTTCGATTTCTAGTCTCCGCCCTAGTAGTAAACCTCGAATTATACATATGCTTCTCAGCTTATGTTGCTACGAAGATAGGTTGAATAGGAAGCCCGCCGCTCTGTCAGCCTTACCAACCCACCTAACTTGTCTTCATATTAACTCACCACTACTCAATTGTTATCAAGTCTGTGCTTCGAATCAGAACTCCAATCCAGCAGACGAAGGTGATAACTCGCCATTATGTACAGTAGGTATCGTATGTACACGCCACACTGCCTACTGCAGCCTGGGAGTTTTAAAGAAGCTACTTTATAAGTCCCTCGTTGTTATCGTAACCAGCCTGCACTGCGGCTCTGTAAGGAGCTAATTTGTTGTCTAGCGTAACATTAACCTGAATCCATCTCGTAAACCCAGGTTCTGTCCCTAATCCTGAAGCGTTATGGTAGACTTGTGACTCCCCTGTGCGCAAGACTAGGCAGGGAACTTTTAAATATACTCCTACAAGCCATAGTCGATCCACAACCTCGTACAAATTAAAAAGTGTCACTAAATAGAACTGTCTGCCGATCATTCTTCAGACTGCCTTCTTCTCTGTTACGTGTGTTTACTGACATTCAAATTTGGCACGAGAGGTAAGTCGTTAATTTTTTGACCGGTGGTTATGCCACATTTTGAACCGAACCTTCTACCTACTTCAACTTTTTGTTTATTGGCACTATGTTTCTTCATCTTTCAGCTGTTGCAAAAGCAATGCCAGATATATTGGCTGCCTACTCACGGGACATGGCCAATTACCAGGAACGTCTGACCACTTGGGAAAACGAGTAATTATCTTAAGCTCTCTTTTGCTTTAAATAATACGCACCCCCTATTTACACCCTTGCACCTGTTAAGTACGTCTAGTACGCTTCTCTGACATGCTTCTCAGTAATCATAGATTTATGTACCATCTATGATGAGCTGAAGGTGAAATTTCCCCCCCTTAGCGCACAGGAGGAAACGTTAGGCGGGGAGGGAGGGGGGTAGAGGGAGCACAAGAGCAGAAATAGGTAGGGTGCAGCCGACAACTTTTTCACCAGTGAACCTGTCGTCGGCCTTATTGCCTCTGAACCTATACGACTTAAATGTT